CAGTGCCCTTGAAGAACAGATGGCCCAGTTGCGAACCTCTCTGTTTTGCAGATGTTGACATCTGTGTGGCAGGCAACTGCACAAGTCAGATGGATACAGCTTTTCAGGTTTCTATAGTCTGTCAAAATTAACTAATTTATGAAGCTGCCCTACATTAGTCAAATATATGAAAATTGTTCCTTTTTAATAGTAGGGACTCTAAAGGTATGTGCACAAGGTCACATATATTCTCTGGTCTACAAAAACAATACCTCGGATTTGCCAGTTATATTTCTAAAAGACAATTCTCTGGCTTTCAGTTTTGTCATTTCCAAAATGTGCATTAAAAATACTTGACTGCTGAAGTTTCCCCAATGATTAGACCCTTAGCACGCGCTAATGTATCACTGTGTAAGAGGTAATATGTGTGAGTACATCATGTACCACAAAGACATACAACACTTGGAAGTTATCATTATAGATCCTTTTGGTCTGATCTCACTGTTTAGTCTTTTGTGAAGAGAAAATTGGTAATGTCCTTGATTTCTATTACCGAGTATGAAATGCCTATGAATGATATGCCTATACAGAAAAACTGGTATAAGCCAAAATCCTAATGAACACAAACCATTAATTTTTTTTCATTTTGATTGTAGGAAAAGCATTAACTGTAATAAAATTAACTTATTTTTAAAAAGAGTCATAAGGTAAGAGTTTAGTATATGACCAATTAAATCTCTTAAATATTCAAATGATTCAGTTATCAGAGGGTTTTGATGCTAAACCTTGAAAATGCAATCAATGTGACATCATTTACCTTTCATATTGAAAGTTTACAAATTCATTATCAAAGAATTTTGACAATAGAAGGAAAAAAAGAATGATTTGTTGACTTTTCAATTCACCAAGAATATGCACCGATGTTCTGGATAATACAGGTTTCAATGTGTTCAGAATCTACAGTTGTCTTTTGATCGGGTTTGGAAGCTATGCTCATGGAAGCAGCAGTCAAGAGATCAAAAGACATAGCGCAGTGCATGCATCTGCTGCACAAGACCTCTTTAGAGTATTGAAAGGCAAGGAGGTTACTTTGAGGACTACGGTGCCTCTGACCCCGCCATAGTATTCTCCCTTGCTCATAGGCAGGTGAAATTTGGACATTGAATAAGGAATGCTGCAGTAGATGCATTTAAATTGTAGTGCTGGAGAACAATATCAAAAGTAGCGTAGATGCTAAAACAACAAATTGATCTGTACGGGAAGAAGTAAGGCCAACGTGTTCCTTAGAGGCAAGAGTGGCAAGACTTCCTCTTCCATACATGTGGCCAGGAGAAACCAGTCCCTGGAGAAGGACATCCTGCTTGGCAGAGGGGCATAGAAAAAGAGGCAAGCCATCAAGGAGATGGACTGACACAGGGGCTGCAGTAATGGGCTCAGGCATAAGAACAATTGTCGAGGATGGTGCAGGACCGGGCAGTGTTTCGTTCTGTTGTGCACAGGATTGCTATGGGTCAGAACCGACTCGATGGCACCTAACAACTGTAATAGATTCACACCATTCATCTAGCATTTCCAAAGTGAGTAGTACCACCCTCTGAGGGGTGATGGGATGATCCAAAGGGGCTGCAAAAGCAGGTATCAATATTTTATTTGGGATTATGGGCTATATCACAAAAGCTTTTAATTGCCAGAAGGGTACCAAGTAAATTTTCTCGCTGAGAAGGGGGCAAGGGCATGAGTCCTGCGCTAGACTACTGCCCAGACAAGAGCCGTGCCTAGTGATGAGAGGACTACCACCCACGGTAAAACAGATTCCGATTTTGGAGAGGCTGCAATGTAAAAGTAAAGCATAAACCAGAGAAATGTAGTGATGTGTATGTTCAATAAGGCTGCATGAGCAACACATGAAAACTAGTTCGAAATTAAAGATTAAAAAAACACTATTCATACCAACAAAAACCACTTACCAAAGGCGATGGTAACATTTGGCAAGATCCCGCGGAGTCAATTCCTCCTCACTGCAACCCTGTAGGACAAGGTGGCACGGCCCCTGTACCTCTTTAACCGGAGGTAAAAGCCTTGCCTTTCTCCTGAGAAGTGTGCGCTCGTGGTTTTGAACTGCTGATCTTGTGGGTTAGCAACCACTCTGCGACTAGGTCTCCTAGCAAAAGATACGCAGTCTGGATTAAGAATGGTTAAATTGATACCTCAGCTAAACCACTTAACTGTCTAGTCCAAAGGAGCCAAATGAGTTTGGGCACCAATGAATCCAATCTGGGTACTTCTGTTGTGGTGAGCGCTGATCAACTCAGCAACCCCAAGCGCAAGCAAACCAGACCCGCCTGGTCCTGCCCCAGCCCCACAGCTGCGCTCACTTAGTGCTTCTGTTAAGGAAGTTCGGTTTTATTCAAGGAATGGCTTTAGGTAAGAGAAAACTTACTCCCCCAAGCAAACTCACTGCCTTCGGGTTGAATTCAATTCGCAGTGACTCTTCAAGTGGTTTCCCAGGCTGACAGTCTTTCCAGAACAGACAGCCTAAGCCTTCTGCTGAGCGGCTGGTGGGTTTGACCTCCTGTCTTGTTTGCAGCCCAGCGCCCGCCCACCAGCACCCCAGCTGTGGGGCAATGACGTCACAGAACGCCAGGAGTGGCTGATAAAGCAGAATTAATGTAGCGGGTTTCTTTCAGGTCCACACTTGAGCTCCACAGATTCCTCTCCACTTCGGTAAACCAAGTAAAGCAAGGCGGCTTCCGGTTGCCAGGGGTCTTAACCACAGGGCTAAGGAAGCTGCGGGGGGCAGGCGACATGAAGATAGACAGGGTCTTCTCAACAAAGACAGTTACGCTCACAAAAAGAGTATTCATGGAAGTCCACTTCACACCTCCCGATTTACCTAGGGAACAATGTCATATCAGTGGTAAACCAGCTGGAGACATATCAAGGCACATCTGAGGATACTAGTCTATTAAAATAGCTTAAACTGAGAAAAAAAAGTTGCAAAGCAAGTTAGAAAAAGTGTCAGCTGGCGTATGCTTTATAAGCAAAACAAGGGAAAAAGAAGACAGACCCAGGTATCTATGTTTAAACTAGTGAGCAAAGTGACCACTTGAAACAGACATGAGATTGAAATTTTGGAATCCAATTATGATTCAGGCACTTCACACTGTGAAACATGGATGCCCAAGAGACCCGTGGGCCCCGCATGGAAGTAGTTTCCCTTGGGGACTATGTTGGGAAGTTTATACCCCACGTGGATTGCAAATTGTTTTATTTTCCTCTCTGTGTCAGTGATCAGCGGTGTTCTGCGATGGAAACGAGCAGCAGCTCCAAGCTGCACTGGGGATGATTATATGCAGAGATAATAAGGAAAAAAGGAAAAAGCCTTTTCGGCAAACTCACACCTAACAGGAGCTCCCCAGTGCGCTGCTGTTAGTGACAACCAGGAAATGCACCTGGTTTTCCCTAATTTGTGTCCAAGGTGTGGAAGCCACACTTCCCTTAATCCTGCCACGTCCTCGGGCCGCTTGGAAATCATCAAATAAAGAGCGACAGTTCAAATACAGCACACACGCTTTATTCCACATGCTCTGCGTAGAACGAACAGGTGAGTGAAATCAGAGACTCACCACATTACATTTAATGTGCCTATCTCCTTTGTGTGATCAACACACAGGTCACCTTTTACTTCTGGGTGGGAAAGGGATTCCTACACAAACGTTTGGGTTTGGTGCTGACAGACTTAATATACACGCCTTCGTGGGCCAATCGTCAAACTTTATCAGTCTGAGAGTGCTGGTAGGTAGCCATGTGCCCTCGCCCCTTTCCTCTTTAAAATTTTAAATACTGCAAAGGAACCGTTTTCCCTGTGAGGCTCCCACACTTGGGATGGAACCTTCTCTGTGGAATTTCGACACCATGTTAATTAGCGGTTATGAGTGGGAGCTGCTCTCTCGCAGCAACTCCTATTCTGCCACCAGTCAAGGGTGATTCTGTAATAAATTTCCACAAAGCAAACTATTTCTGGTAATTCTCTCTAATTAACACCAGACCTGCTAATAATACACCAGTACCTACGTGTTTTTGATATAACCAAGATCTTGTCTGAGAGTAACCAAAAAGGGAAGCCGCCAGCCTAAATTAAGCTTTTGCGGGCAAAAAGGATTTTCTGTTTAGTTCTGTAAGAAAACCTTTGATAATCTTATATTGGAGACATTTTGACCAGAAAACACTGAGCACCAGGGAGGCTTGTTCTGGTTGGAGCCCTGAATGGGGATTTATTGCCTACACACACTGTTGAGTCTTAAGCCTATAAATCTTGTACTGGATTACTGTTTCTTAACGAAGGAACGACAGATCTCTTATTTTGTCGGCGCATTTTAATGTGCAATGACGTGATTGATAGAAACCAAACAGCAGCTATTAAAATGTCAGATGCAGACTTGATGCCCTTAAAAGTTTGGCTTCTGGAGTTTAATACACTGTGAGCAAATAGACTTGAATTTGTCTTTTATTCCTTGTATCCAGCCTGCAACGGAAGCATTCCTCTCGATTTTATACAGCTGGGTAAAAATCTGAGTCAACCCAATGAACAGTGAGTCCGAGGTAAGGCTCCTGGAGGAGGAAGAGTCAGCGAGGAGACTGGGACTGAAGTGAAGCAAGGAAGCACTGTGGTCTATACAAAGTGCAGACGGTGGGCTGCGCTCAACGAACATGTCATGGAATCCCTTTTCTGACAGGTTAGTCCAACAGATAGTTTGAGCAATGAATACGTATTATAAAATGTAACCTCCTTAGTCACAAATATTTACTGCGTATATTGTAGGTACTGAACATAAAAAGATAAAGGGGGCAGTCTTCTCAGATCTCTTGTTTCTGACAGATGTGGGGGCAAGTATCAGAAAGGAGGTATTCTTCTGACAGGGATCCCATCTCACCGGCCCTGTGAGGATGCAATGCGGCTTTCCCCTGGCGACACTGAAGGGCTCATTTAGCATCACAAAGAAAAACCAGGAGAGCTTGGCTGTGTCATTACAGGCATTTATTTATTGAGTATGTGCACATTAAGGTACTACTTTACTGATTATATTTCTCATGTGATTTTTAATTAGATAATAAATCCAAAAACAAGACAGCAGAAATGTAATACACGTGAAAAAAACAACTCAAAACCCAATGACTTAAAGAAAAAGAAATTAGAGTTTAACAAATAAGGCAACTGATAACATTGAGAATCCAAATCTATTACCTTGTAAGCACTTGGAGGTAAGTTGTGAGGGGGACACAGTAAGATCAAATGATTTTTGTATGAAACTATTCCGTATGTGTTTCTTTCTGTCTGAAAAGCCACTTCCTTCAGCCGGAATAAGCTAAAAATGTCACAAACATATTAATATAATGCTAAGTTTACATTTGAGGAGGAACAAGGAAGAACCTTTTCCTAAAAGACGTTAGTGGTAATAATGTAGCACTCTTGAAATGGCACTATAGATACATCTCTGTCACTTTAAGCAACGCCGTATTAACATTTTGATCATGTCACCTCTTCTAGGAGCCCTGCTGCTGCAGTGAGCTGCTCACCACAAGGTCTATAGTTCAAAGTCACCAGCAGCTCCAGGGAGAAGTAGGCAGCCCCATGCGGCCTCCTGTGAAGATTTACAACCTTGGAAACCACAGAGGCAACTGTAATTTGTCTGAGGGTCATTATGAGACGGAATGGACTCAACACAGTGAGTTTTATTAGTTCTGACAGTGCGGCTAGCCCAAATGATTAGGTTTTAGTTTTAGATTCTAAATTTAACCTGAATTCATAGGACATATACATGCTTCCATAAAACATAAGTAAAGGGGGATTTCAAGTTGATACTTCAGCAGGCAATATTTGATCCAAGTAAAATTTGGGAATTGAAAAATCTAAGCAGAGATTTTTAGTGATGCACTTGATTTTAATGTGTTGTGGCAAGCACAGCATTCCAAAGGACACGTCTAGAGAGGCTGAAAGTAAATGCTCTACAATGAAGAATTAAAAAAATGCTAGTGACATGAAATATTTATATTCAGAAAAATAAATATTCAGGGAGCTCACCAGAAGAATAAAGTGCTGTGCCAGTTATTGAAAGATGAACGCTGGCATATTAAATATGGCGTTCCCCACTGGAAAATACGGCGATTCTTCTGGGATATGTTCATATTTATTTCACAGGATTAACTGTATTAATAACAGCTCATATAATGCTTTGCCGCAGAGGAGGGAGGGAATGCACAGACAAAATGATAAATTAGGAAGCATTATTATTCTTTTAGGGATAAAGTTTAAAGAAATGCACTATGATGCTCCATGAACAGTATGTAGAAAGGTCTAATAAAGATTAAATTCTTAATGTAAGACCACTTATAAGAAATTCAGACCAAATAAAATGATTTCAGAAAATACACACAGCCATCGACTTATCAAACACTATTTTGGCATAAAATCTATTAAGGTAAAACTAAACAACAATAAAAATGTCTTCTACACCAAAACAAAACCACCCCACCCATATTGTCTCGTAGAAAGCAAAAGGCATGTGGCCATGTACGTGAACCAATGTGTCTTCTACAGGTGGTTTCAGCAGCAATGAGAAATAACGCACAATCAGTTCCAGCATGGTATTTCAAAAGAAACTTCCTGCCTCCCTGCAAGATGCAGGGCGAGTCTTGCGTTGCAATTAGTGGACTATTTGGTTTGCCACTTTGTGTCCTACTTCCCAGTCTTTTGTCTTCAGTTTAATTATTATCTGGATATCATATAGAGCTGCTAGACCATAAATTAACAGCTCTCAGGACAAATGCCTTGAAAGTTCTTTGGGAGGTTAAACAAATATTGTTGCCTAAAAGCTCCCTCTTTAACAAACATACGTACAATGGGAGTGAAGTCCTTAGTGAGTGATGGGGCAGGAAGGACTTCGAGCTCTGTCTCAGCTTTGAAAGGCGATTATCCCAAACAGATTTCTATTATAATTCAGGGGGATCCTGACTTTTCATTCATTCTAGAAACAAAGAAAAATGACCAGATGCTATGATCTGTTTCCACAATAGGATCTACTAGGTGACCACAGTCCCCATGTGGTATTTACATAATTCTGTTCCCCAATTAGGAAAATAAACAGTGGACCAATCTGAGTCCTTGATCCTGTCCCTGTTCTACACTGCCAAACCTCAGCGGTTTGAATCACAGGGTTCTGAGCTTCATGATGACAGTGGTAGGAGTTGAGCCACTACTGGGAAAATCATCCCCCAACCCAAATCTAGATTTCATCACATGTTCAAATAAATCATCTGGTTATTTTTTTCATGGAGAACTGGAAAAAAAGGTTATTCTACAGAGAGAGCTTTCAAACCTTCGTTTGTTAATTATTTCTCTTTGAAATTGATAGAATTGACGCATTGTCTGAACAGGGGCCCATTTTTTTTTCTTTTGGGTACAGTCCTCTGATGCACCATGAATTTCCAACCACACTGTTTGCTACTGCTTCTCTTTAAAGAGAGAGAAAACTAAAATTCAGAGCCCAAAGCTATTTAACTGGCTCTTTACCTCAGTATAAGGGTAGAGGAAAAATAAAGGAGGGGGGTGGTAGTAATATAGGTAATGAATTTTAAAAATTGAATAAAATATTACTCAGTCTTATAAAAGGCAAAACCTTGAGATTTATGAGCTACATGGTAACTTGGGGTGGGTGTAGAAGAAAAATAAAACGTTGCTTCGAAGCATAGTATTTTGAGAAAAAATAATTCATTGGGAAAAATTGCATTTGCTTCTCTACTGGAATGATCAACTGTAAGGGGGAAAAAGTATATATAGTTTTTTTTTAAAAAATGATACATACTATTGATAAAATTCCCTGTTTAAATTCCTATTTAATGTTCTAAAGATAAACACAAATTAATTTAGTTTTTAATAAAACAATTTTCTTACTATAAAGTACATGGCATTTTTTATGCCTTTTATAGATTTACTTAAAACTATCTAACAAGGAAAGAAAGTATAATTATTTCAGTATAGGAACTGAAGTATTTATTCTAAAATTTAATTCTTTACTAATTCATTCTAAGAGGAATTTAATAGTCAACCAGGAAATTGGTTTTTATAAAAGCTATTTTATGGGCAGAAAATACAGGGGGAAAAAAGTAGTAATAAATGCCAAACTGTCTCTTTACTTTATGAAGCCAAATATTTCCTCATAGAAATAACCAAAGACTTGGTTTTTAAAACTGGAACTTATCCCTTCAGGGCCATTATTATTTTTCAAAATTTCATATAAATATAACATTTAGAAATTAATTAGTAATTTTAATTATCTTCTTTCTTATCAGATTCCTCTCTTCTCCTAATTCTTGACTTTTAGAAATTCACAGAATGAGCATGTTTCTTGCAAAGCGGCTTGTCCTTCTTGGAGAAAAAGGTCTGACCTTCCAAGCTTTCACAACACACCTGAAAAAGAAGCATTCTTTTAGAGAGGATCATTATTTCATGAAGATGCCTGCCTCAGAAGGGGAGCTGATCCTCGCCCCCCTTCCCCGCCCCCCGCAGTGGGTAATATGATAAAGTACTTTAGTTAGCTTATATCAGACACTCTCTTATCCTGTAACTATGGCATTTCATGTAATCTTTTAAATCATAGTCTAGTTTGTTTACATCACCAATCATGATTTGTCTTTATTGGGTGGAAAACAACCCTAATGAGAAAATTAATACATAAGAGGTCACATTAAATATACTACCTCCACACCCCCACATCCCTCAAATTCTAATCAACACTTTAAATCTGCTTCCTATAGTGGACAACCAAAGCATTCAGCACAAAAACTCAACTCATTTGCTTTGCCAAACTTTGTCAGGCACAGGCACACAGGCCTAGGATAAGTTGAACTTTTTTTCAGTTTGTGTCTTTGGGTGAGAATTCTGGTCTACACATGGCTTCTGAATTTCTGGATGATTATGTAGCCAGTGAACTACCCATCTTTATGTCTTCTTGTCTTTCCTACCAACTTTGTTCATTGTTAATACTGAGAAGCAGGTTTGCCAGAAAATAGGAGGACAATCACTTCCAAGTATTTAAAAAACAAACAAACAGATTTTATGAAGAGTGAAGGATGGGTGAGGAAAAAGTAAGGCAGGATTCAAGGACAATGTTTGGGAAAATCATTTGACTTAGCATTTTTTCACCCACCGTGTAAGAAAAATAAGAATACAATCAATGGGCATTGAAAATTGCTAGCTACTGTATATACTCGTGAATAAGCCGAGTTTTTTCAGCACATTTTTAATGCAGTTTTTGTTATAAAATTAGCTGCCTTGGCTGATATTCGGGTTGGCTTATACTCTAGTATAATCGCTATATTAAATCTAATGGAAAAATCACACATCTGAACAAAATACTTTTACTGGATATTTCTCTTCTAAATTAAACAAAATAAAACAAAACCCATAGGTTAATGTTGATCTCTAAATTTATCTTTAGCATTAAAAACATAGTGAAAAGTATTAACAAAATGAAACAAACAACAACCCTCAGGTCCACTGTTGTCCAGCTGATTTCAACTCATGCTAACCTATAGGACAGAAGAGAACTGTTCCTTAGGGCTTCCAAGGCTGTCATTCTGTTTTTGTTTTTAATCATTTTATCAGGGGCTCATCCAACTCTGATCACAATCCATCCAAGCATCCATTGTGTTAAGCACATTTGTACACTTGTTCCCATCATCATTCTCAAAACATCTGCTTTCTACTTGAGCCCTTGGTATCAGCTCATTTTC